TTCCGTGCGGATCGTAACAAGACGTTCAGTCATTAGGAGACTGGGAATTTGGACAAGCTTTTGCACATACCAACGGGGTGGAGATTTTTGGGAAAGAAAAGGCAATTTCTGAGGAAAGAAGATGATGTAATTCGTGTGTGTGTGTGTGGGGGGGGATGGGGCAACGTATGCGGCTACCGGTGCACAGAGCTCAATATATACACATATTTTTGAAATGTTTGCGCCAACGTGTTAAACAAGTTGAATAAATAGCACGCAAAATTAAAACGAGTCACCAATGGGTATCTTCGGTGGCAATCTATTTCACAATTACTCTTGTGGAAGCTTTCATGAATTAAATATGAGTTCTGTCTTGAAATTAGGTGTTATAAGGCTACATTACAACAGGCAGCAGTAATTGAGGTGGTGGCAACAGGGGGGTCTGTGAACTAATCTCTTGCCATGTCACGTGTCCGCCCCCCTCTCCCCGTCCCCCCCCATTGGCCAATGGGCAGCCGCCCTTCACAAAAACAGAGGCAGCTGAGAAAAATTGATTTCTCATCGGAGCCATATTTGATAGCTTTTGAAATCGAAAATTGAAATTAACTAACCTACGCCCCGTTGTAACAAAAGAGCAAATTAAATATGCAACGACGGTTCCTGTTGGCAGCCAGAGAGCCTGCCAAGGTAAATTTGTAAATAGAGTTTAAGATGCAATTCCCCCCGCCCCTGCCCCCCCGCCTCTCTTTTGGTGTAAAAGTAGAAGTGTATGTGGCTTTATAAATTATTTATATATAAAAAAATTCATCGGCTGCAAATGGCCACTGTGGTTAAGGATTTCCATGGAGGAAGAAACCATTGCATTTGGAGAGTGAATCAAAATTAAAAATCCATGATTCCGGCATTACTTATGATAAAGAGTAGGAATATTTTAGACTTCCTTTTCCAAACTCTACTTTTATGTCTTCCATACAGCTATGAAAAAATAACTACAATAAATTTACTGAAATTAAAAAAGACAACCGAACATGCCATCCATTTAGCCATCCCACCGTCTCGTAAATAATTATGAGTTCATTTGGATGTGCTAACTGCTGAAAGCCAACAGACCACTCCATTGTCTTATCAGCGATGCTTTAAAACACGGCACTTCACACATATTTTCCCCACCGATTCCCAGAGATACGGCAGCCCGGGCTATTGATTTTGAATTTATAAACTTATGAGGTCCGATGAAGGGGATGGAGGTCTCAGAGGCGATATCCCGGGCAATCCAGCCATGACAGTTTTTCATTTACGATTTCCCTCCTGCCTGTGCCAGAGGCTGCCCACAATAATGTTTGTTTAACCACAGAGAACGTGTTCTGAGCCCCACTTTTTTATTGCATTGTTAAGGAGGCGAATTAATTTTCTATGTTTAAGAGGTAGATGGTGGAAGATAAACATCGTGGAATCGTCACCCAGCCCCGTCTCCCTGGCTCAGAGCTGAGCCGTGTAGAATTCAGTGTCAAGTGCGGCGGGGGAGAGGACCCTGAACCTGCCTGTCAGCGCACAGATCCCGTAAAAATCTTTTTCTCCTCTAATTTATTATTTTTAGTGTCAATCAGCCTCCGATGAGGAGAGTAACCTCCTTCAGGATTGGGATCAACGGTTCAGTGCTTTCCCAGTGTAGTTGAAGGAGCTGTCATTATGTGAACCAGGGCGGAGACATACCAGGCAGCCACAGTTCCAAAGTTTTTCTTCTGTGCAGGAATCTTTTTTTTTTTTTAATATTTTTATTGATTTCAGAAAGGAAGGGAGAAGGAGAGATAGAAACCACCATGATGAGAGAGAATCACTGATCAACTGCCTCCTGCACACCCCCTACTGGGGATGGAGCCTGCAATCCGGGCATGTGCCATGACAGGGAATCAAAATGTGACCTCCTGGTTCCTACTAGCAGATTGACACTCAACCACTGAGCCAAACATGGAAGAGAGAGGAAAATACAGAGAGAAACATCGATGTGAGAGAAACGCATTGATTTGCTGCCTCCTGCATGAGCCCCGACCAGGGCCCGGGCCAGGGAGGAGCCTGCAACCGAGGTACGTGCCCTTGACCAGAATCGAACCCGGGACCCTTTTGGTCCACAGGCCGACGCTCTATCCGCTGAGCCACACTGGCTAGGGCTGATGTATATACTTTAAAAAAAAATGATACAGGTTCAGCCGAATGAGGCTCTAAATGAGATCGTAAATGCCTTAAGAGTGACTTTCTCTTCAACCCTTAAAATATCAGTGCTGTGAGCATCACTTAGCTGCACATTTCAACAGTTGCCAATTTGTTCCCCAGGAAGAGAAAATACAGGGAATTGCTCTTAGAAAAAAGAGTAGATGGATGAAATATAAGGAAACGCTCTCACAGGGGAGCTCTACAATGTATTTTAAGCATGTTGAGGTGTTTTATTTCATCTGCGGGGGAGGAGAGATTTGCCGGCTTCTGAGCTATGCCCCTTTCTGAAGTTTCCTTCGAAGATCCCTCCGTCTCTAACCTCACGGCCACCCTGTCACAGGACTGCAAAGACCTCACCCGACCCCGACGCCTACAGCGAAATTAAGCTTTAGGCTCCAGTTATATATAAAAAGAAAGATGAGCCCTAGCCGGTTTGGCTCAGTGGCTGGGTGGATAGAGCGTCGGCCTGTGGACTGAAGGGTTCCGGGTTCGATTCCGGTCAAGGGCAGGGACCTGGATTGCAGGCTCCATCCCTGGCCCTGGTCAGGGCACGTGCAGGAGGCACCCAATCGATCTGTCTCTCTCACATTGATGTTTCTCTCTCTCTGTCTCTCCCCTGCCCTCCCACTTTCTCTAAAATTCAATGGAAAAATATCCTCGGGTGAGGATTAACAACAACAACAAAAAAGATGAAGAATTACATCATTGCAGGACTGGAAGGCTATAGTATGGCGATTTCGGAATCGAAACGTACACCAATGTTTAACGAACGCAATTCGTTTCATTACCAACCAGTAACCATATCCACATGTGTATATGGTAAGATTAAGCCAAGCCTGTATAATAGCCTTACAAACGATGAATATTCGACAATGGCAAGTCTGGCTAAACAAAATCGCATTTGCTCGATGCCATGGTATTATTTATTTGGACACAGGGTGTTGGTCAAGTTCGCCCAAACTGCACCTTATAATTTTGGGGCATTTCAAAATACATTTTTATTGACTTCAGAGAGGAAAGGGGAGGGAGAGAGAGAGATAGAAACATCAACGATGAGAATCATTGGTTGGCTGCCTCCTGGACGCCCCCTACTGGGGATCGAACTGACAACCTGGGCATGTGCCCTTGACTGGAATCGAACCTGGGACCTTTCAAGTCTGCAGGCCGACACTGTATCCACTGAGCCACACCAGCTAGGGCCAGGGACATTTCCCTTTTGAAGGAACATGAAAAGGCTCAGCTTTCAGATGCAGATGTTATTGCTGTTATCAATCTCAACCTACTAAAAACACCAACATTTTGGGGCCCAGTCATTTTGCAAAATTAACATTTCCCACACGGGAGCCATTTTCACACCTTTAGTTTTAGTGGGAATTATTTTTTTCGGGGATTATTACACACAGGGTCATTACGTAGATAAGCTAAAATACTGGGAGATTCAGAATGTTAACTCACATTTTTAAAGAGTTGGTAAGGGGGGAAAAATCAGTCTGCCACTCATGAAAAATGATCAACAGACAACCACACGTTATTTTAAAGGTTTTCTTTAGCGTTGGTGACCTGGTAATTTACATACATGTATATACATACTAGAGGCCTGATGCACGAAGATTCGTGCAAGAATGGGCCTTCCTTCCCCTGGCTGCCAGCACTGCCTTTGCTCTGGATGGAGCCACCTTTCTGCCTTCACTGCGGCCTGGAGCCACCTTTCCGCCTTCCCACGCTGCCCAGAGGCCCAGAGCGGCTGGGGCCGTGCGGAATGCCTGTGTCCCACCACCCTCCCCCCCAGCCGCTCAGCACCTGCTATGCAAATTAACCCACCATCTTTGTTGGGTTAATTTGCATACTCACTTCTGACTGGCTGTTGGGTGTCGCGAAGGTGTGGTCAATTTGCATCTTTCTCTTTTATTAGTGTAGACTAGAGGCCCAGTGCATGAAATTTGTGCACTGGTATGGCCCCTTAGCAGCTGCCAGCTGCTGGCCAGGTACTCCCTCCCTTCCCCCGACTGGCCCTGCCCTCTAGTCAAACTCCCGGACAACCTCCCAGTTGAGGGGACAATTTGCATACTACCCTTGCATTATATAGGAGACGTATAAATATATATTTAATTCTGAGGGAATCCTGTCTCATTATTACTAGTTTTTGAAAATAAAATTTCCTACATTGCTATTTGTCTCTCCACTGCTCTTTCTCCAATCTATGCTGTTCAAACTTTTCCCTTTGGCCTAGATAATTTCAAGTTTTAATTTAAAATCACCCAACTTGCTTGTAGAACAAACATTATATACCATTTAAAAGCTGGCTTTCTAATAATACCTCTGAATTTTCCTGTGATCTGGATATGTAAGTATTTACATATATATTACTAGCCCTTATTAACTTCGCATTGCAAGCAGGGGAGGCCTGACGTTTTATTTTTAGCGAGAGAATTGCTCCTGCCTCTGGACCCATTTCAAGATAAAATTGATGTTAACCTGCTAACAGGAAGGTAGAATTTTAAATCACGTTCCAAGTGGACATTTTAGCTAATGCTTTCTTTACCTATTTTCGTCACAGTATATATTTAACATGCGATCGTCATATCTTCTCACCTCACAAAATCTTTTAAGCCTTCGTTTAGTTAAAGGTTGAAGGATTTATTTTCTTTATCTAATAAAAAGCTACTAATTAAAGATTTGTGGATTTTCCTCACATTAGAGGCCACTAATTCTTTTTTTTTAAAAAATGTATTTTTATTGATTTCAGAGAGAGGAAGGGAGAGGGAGAGAGAGATAGAAACATCAACGACAAGAAAGAATCATTGATTGGCTGCCTCCTGCATGCCCCCTACTGAGGATCAAGCTGGCAACCCAGGCTTGAGGCCCTGACCAGGAATCGAAATGTGACTTCCTGGTTCATAGGCGGACACTCAACCACTGAGCCACACTGGCCAGGCAAGGACCCTATTTTTAAAAAATATGTTTTATTGAGTTTTTACAGAGAGGAAGGGAGAGGGATAGAGAGTTAGAAACATCGATGAGAGAGAAACATCGATCAGCTGCCTCCTGCACACTCCCCACTGGGGATGTGCCCGCAACCCAGGTACATGCCCTTGGCCGGAATCGAACCTGGGACCCTTCAGTCCGCAGGCTGACTCTCTATCCACTGAGCCAAACTGGTCAGGGCAGGGCCCTAATTCTTAAAAAAAAAACAAAAAAACAAACCCATCTAAACTTTTGGACCTTATCGGGGGCTGGTTGGTTTCTTCTTCATTAAAACAACCCTTTGTTTTAAGATGCACTGATCAGTAGCTGGAACAGTAGCTTCGCTATCAACTTACTGATACACACGCACAGAAACGTTCGCCCCCGACAAGGCATGCTAGCCAAAGCCACTTCTCAGAATTTTTCAAAGGTGATGACACGCAGAGTCAGGGGTGTAACCGCAGCATCCTTTGGGCCGTGGCTGGGCCGCGCTTCCACGGGGGATCCTGCTAACGCGGCTGACAAGTCCCTTACATCCTGTCCGCGAGCGTTTTGATGCCTGCGATGCTCATCACACCGCCTTCTGACTCCGCTTCTGACTCCGCGACATACAGCGTGGGCAGCGCGTGGCCGTGCTGCGTTTCATTCCAGGGGCATCAAAGGGAGACTCGGAAAATGACTCCAGCCCCACGGCTCTGATAAAAATAAGATGCTTACCCACCGACAGCAATTACCATGGAAATAAAAAGAGGACACAGCTTCCTAATGCTCTCAAATCAAAGAGGCAGAGGTGGGGAGGGCCGGGGCTGAGTGCGGGGACAGGCCGCCGGCTGCGTGGGGGGGAATCTTTGAGACTTTCATCCGGCAGGTTTGCTCCTTGGTCGATGGGGAAAGGTTATTCATCATTTTCAAGAGCAGAGGATTTTTGCTCAGTCATTTCTGGGGGTGGCTGGCCTGGACACTTTTGCTCTGCAGACAATAGATATTAATTTCCAAGAGGAAGGCGGGGGGAGAGAGAAACATCAATGATGAGAGAGAATCGGTGATGGGCTGCCTCCTGCATGCCCCACACTGGGGATGGAGCCCACAACCCGGGCCTGTGCCCTGACCAGGAATGGAACCGTGACCTCCTGGTTCATAGGTCGAGGCTCAACCACTGAGCCACACCGGCCGGGCTGAGATTTCTAGTTAGAAATTAGAATTCAGTCAATATAACTGTGAGTCTAACAGTCGCAAAACCTTAATCCAAAGGGGTTGCACCAAGCAAGGTCCATGACAGTGCCTCCGTCTCCCCGCTACATAGACCCTTCTCTCTCTCTTGTTTAAAAATCTTTAGTGTTGAAAGTATTACCTCTCCCTCGCTCCTCCCACCCCCTCCAGCCTTCACCACCCCATTGTCTGTGACCAGAGGATACACCTATACGCATAGGAGCTCACTGGTTGGTCTCTCCCCCGCCCCTTCGCCCTCCCCTGCCTCCCCTCTGAGGTTTGACCGTCTGATAGATGCTTCTCTGTCCCTGGATCTGTTTTTGTTCATCAGTCTGTGTTGTTCATTATATTTTATAAATGAGTGAGATCCTGTGATATTTAGCTTTCTGCAACTGGCTTACTAGTATTTCGCTTAGCATAATGCTCTGCAGGTCCACCCATGCTGCTGCAAAGGGTAAGAATTCCTTCTTTTTTACCGCAGCGTAGTATTCCATTGTGTAGATGTAGCACCGTTTTCTTTCTTTTTTAAAAAAAATATATTTTATTGCCGAAACCGGTTTGGCTCAGTGGATAGAGCGTCGGCCTGCGGACTGAAGGGTCCCGGGTTCGATTCCGGTCAAGGGCATGTACCTGTGTTGCGGGCACATCCCCAGTGGGGGATGTGCAGGAGGCAGCTGATCAATGTTTCTCTCTCATCGATGTTTCTGGCTCTCTATCTCTCTCCCTTCCTCTCTGTAAAAGTTCAATAAAATATATTTTAAAAAAATAAAAATAAAAATAAAAATATATTTTATTGATTTTTTACAGAGAGGAAGGGAGAGAGATAGAGAGTCAGAAACATCGAGAGAGAAACATCAATCAGCTGCCTCCTGCACACCACCTACTGGAGATGTGCCCGCAACCAAGGTATATGCGCCTTGCCGGAATCGAACCTGGGACCCTTCAGTCCGCAGGCCGACGCTCTATTCGCTGAGCCAAACCGGCCAGAGCATGTGGCTCTTACTCTTTACAAGTAAGTACGTATGCGGGCACCTGCACAAAAGTATAACGCTGCCCTGGCTTCTGGCACCTGTACATACTATGTCTAGTGAAACCTACTTGAAGATGAATGTATAAAATGAATGCACACATATCCGTCTTACCCCCAATTTCATGGCCCTTTGCTTAGCGCACGGAAATATGGTGGCGATAGATACAGGTTAATGCCTATAGGTTGTCTGTTGACTTTCTAGATAATTTACACCATGTAAAAGTGTATAAAATATTCCTTACATGCCCCTCACCCCCACCCCAGACACAGATTTTAGGCTCCTATAGAACTTTTTCCTTTAAAATATATATATATATTAGAGAGGAAGGGAGAGGGAGAGAGAGAGAGAAACATCCATGATGAGAGAGAATCATGGATCGGCAGCCTCCTGCACGCCCCCTACTAGGGATTGAGCCTGCAACCGGACCGTGCGCCCTTGACTGCAATCGAACCTGAGACCCTTCAGTCCGTAAGCCGATGCTCTATCCACTGAGCCATACCGGCTAGGGCGGCACTGTGTTTCAATTAGAAGAAACCTTGAAGGACATGGGAAGAGCCTCGAGCTCAGTGGTTCTCACCCTTCTGACCCTTTAAATACAGTGCCTCATGTTGTGGTGCCCCCCCAGCCATAAAGTTATTTTCGTTGCTACTTCATCACTGTTATGTTGCTACTGTTATGAATCGTCATGTAAATATCTGATATGCAGGATGGTCTTAGGCGACCCCCGTGAAAGGGTTGTTCGACCGCCAAAGGGGTAGCGATCCACAGGTTGAGAACCACTGAGCTAGAGGCTCTTCCCATGTCCTTCAAGGTTTCTTCTAATTGAAACACAGTGCCGCCCTAGCCGGTATGGCTCAGTGGATAGAGCATCGGCTTGCGGACTGAAGGGTCTCAGGTTCGATTCCAGTCAAGGGCACATGGCCGGGTTGCAGGCTCAATCCCTAGTAGGGGGCGTGCAGGAGGCTGCCGATCCATGATTCTCTCTCATCATGGATGTTTCTCTCTCTCTCTCCCTCTTCCTTCCTGTCTGAAATAAACAAAAATATATTAAAAATATAAAAAATAGTGCCATTTGCCCCTCTCTCTCGGAGAGGTGGTGGATAGTTGCTGCGTTCGGAGTTACTTGGCCAGTCCTGGGCGGAAGAGGTTGGACACAAATCCAACAAAGTCTCCTACCTACCCCTCCCTTTGTGGGATTTGCAATATATGACAGAACTAAGTGATACATAGCCCATTGATTTTAACTTCATGTTTTGGTGTCTTGAGTTCGGATAATGAGCCTGTTTGTTCCAAATCCAATTACCCATTCTATTTTCTCACCCCCGGCCCTCCCCACCACATATGCGGAGACATTCATTACCCACTTCCCCACACCACTCCCCAGGCCACGGAACACACAAAGGGGGCTTTGTCCCAGAGGTGGGATTCAAAGCCAGGGGAGGGGCCGGCTTGAAAGGCAAGGCATTCTTCCAGGTCTCAGGACCGGCCTGGAGGAAGTGTGAAATCACAAGTGGGAAAATCAAACACCCAGAAGTGGAGTTTGGGGAGAAGAGAGGGAGCCCTGAGGGCCAGGGTCTTCAGAAGGGACAGGGGGACAAGACATTGCTCTCCAGTCAGAAACGCATGGCAGCTCCAAGAAAGACAAAGAGGTGCCTTCAGCTCTGAAGGAGCAAACAGAGACGCAACTTAGTAAAGGGATAGCGGTGACTCCACACACCCCGTGTTTGCATCAATTAGGGCGAAGGCTGGGCCGGGTCCAGGCATCCACCTACGAAAACAGCGCTGAAGTTAAGACACTGGGTACCCGTCCAATTACCATCAGTTGGGCGTCTGTTCTCTCATCAAAGCGACGTGACACGGAGACACAGAGTCAAACAGATGGCTGTATTTTGCCCAACTGGACTTTAATGAAAAAGTCCAGATTCTTTTGTTGCGGAGAAAAAGGGATTATTGCCTGAGAGGACGTTCACCGCGGAGGGAATAAGATAATGCCACATCAAAGAGCTGCAACGGAAACTGGAAGACGGCGAGATGATTTCGCCCCCTCACGGGAGGGCAAGAGAACAAAGGATTTTTAGATCGTGTGAAATATCCCGAATTCATAAAAAGAGGAAACGCAGTCAGGATCCCACTGAAAATCCGTCCCAGGTACCTGAGTTGAAACGAAAGCAAATCCAACTGGCCCGATTCATTGCAAAAATCGAGGAATATTGAACGAGGGATGCCGGCCACGGAAAAGGGGACGTGTACACAGAGGTAGAATTAATATCAAATGATCATAAGGGGAAGATGGCTCAAATGGAAGTTTCCAGAAAACCTCAGCCTTTCGAGCTGAATAATTCCCACAGGACAATGGTGGTCTCATTTCTGACAGGTTGTGTAGTCTCCACCTTGTGAGGAATTTGGGGATGTCCACGAAGGTAGGGTGCACCTTTGTGGGTTTTCTAGAAGGGAAGTCATTCATCAGCTCTTGGTTTTGAAACTCCTCTTTTTTTTTTTTTTTAAATATATTTTTATTGATTTCAGAGAGGAAGGGAGCAAAGAGAGACAGAAACATCAGTGATGAGAGAGAATCATGGATCGGCTGCCTCCTGCACGCCCCCTACTGGGGGATGGTGCCTGCAACCCAGGCATGGGCCCTGACCGGGAATCGAACCTGGAACCCTTCAGTCCACAGGCCGATGCTCTATCCACTGAGCCAAACCAGGTAGGGCTGAAACTCTTGATTTTGGAGTTGCCTTTTCTCAAATAATTATCTTTATATCATTTTAAAAGGGAAAAGGCAGAGGAGGTTGTATGAATATGGAAATATGGTTCTTTTCAAAGCTCATTAATTGAATGCCAATGCATTGCCAGCTCATTACAACGCAGGCCGCTTTAATTAAAAACGGGCCCACGCGCTATAATAAAAACGAGAGAATGAGGCTGATTTAGAATTGGATACCTTTTATAAAAATAATCCTTAAGCAGACAAAGGGCAGAAGAACTTTTTTTGTTATTGTTTTGTTCATTCTCACTCGAAAATATTTTTCCACTGATTTTAGGGAGAGTGGAAGAGAGAGGGAGAGACAGAGAGAAACATCGATGTGAGAGAGACACATCGGTTGGTTGCCTCGTGCACGAATGCCAACCAGGGCCCCGGGCCGGGGCCGAGCCTGCAACTGAAGTAGATGCCCTTGACCCGAATCGAACCCGGGACCCTTTGGTCTGCAGGCCGACGCTCTATCCCACTGAGCAGAACTGGCCACGGCAAGACATTTGAGAATGTTTATAAATGTAGACGATCTTTCAGTAATTGTCATTATAAGCAAAGGCACGCATGGGGGCCTAGCTGGCTAAGGCTTGGGATTCATTGACGGCACAAGCTACGGGCTGCCGTGTAGCTTTGCAGCATTGATGTCTCCAAAGAGGCTTTTATGACTGGACTGAGGACCCACTCAGTGTCTCATGACACAGACGGTTTCCAATCAGGGGTTTGACGTGCATCTTCTAATAACTACAGGCGAAGGAGAAATCAGTTCGCTTGCCTCTCACCCATAAGACATAGCGCTGGTCGTCAGATAAACGGAAAAGGAAGTGATCAGTGAACTTGACAAACACGGGAGGTTCTGCAGCAGTGTGTGTGCGGATTACATGTGACCTTGGACGTGTCGACTTCAAGTGTCCGCCTTCCTCTGTCTACTTTCCCCACTTGACGTTTGAGTCCATCCTATATAATAAAAGCCTAATATGCTAAGTGTCCGGTCGCCAGTTGTCTGTTCAACCAATCAAAGTGTAACATGCTAATGATATGCTAAGGCGGCTCAGCTGCTCGCTATGACGTGCACTGACCACCAGGGGGCAGACACTCCAACCGGAAGGTTAGCTTGCTGCTGGGGTCCAGCCGATCTGGACCGAGTGAGATGGGCTGGATATGCCCTGGAGCCCTCCCGCGGTCTCTCCCCTGGCTGGCCAACCTCCTGCGGCCCTTTCTGGTCCTGATCATGCATCGGTGGGGTCCCTCAGCCTGGCCTGTGCCTTCTTGCAATCTGGGACCCCTTGGGGGATGTCGGAGGGCCGGTTTTGGCCCAATCCCAGAGGACAGGCCAAGGGACCCCACTGGTGCATGAATTCGTGCACCGGGCCTCTAGTTTATTTATAAAACATAAAAGGGCACTTCTCAGTGCTCTTTTAGCAGGATAAATAGAAAATCAGTAGAAAATCTTTTTTTTTTAAACCTTTACTACCATTCAGGCATATTTTTCTGGATCTTTCTCTGTGCAAAAACTTTTTAAAAAAATATATTTTGATTGATTTCAGAGAGGAAGGGAGAGGGAGAGCAAGAGAGATAAACATCAATGATGAGAGAGAATCACTGACCGGCTGCCTCCCGCACGCCCCTTACTGGGGATCGAGCCCACAACCCGGGCATGTGCCCTTGACCGGGAATCAACCCATGACTTCCTGGTTCATAGGTGGACGCTCAATCACTGAGCCACGCCAGCCGGGCATCTATTCAGTAAATGTAGACAGTCAATAGTAAGATGGCCAGAGAGCTGAATTAACACAGAGCTGTGGCATCACCCACGCCTTGTAGAATCATACACATTCTCTGTGTGGACAGTTGGACTATACTAACTGCCGTAATGTATCAGGACCCAGACAACTGATCAGAGATTTCCCATCGATTCTAAGTGACATCAGGAGGAAAAGGCGACATGTTACGTCTAGAGCTTGGGTTTGAGACGGTTGTAAAAAGTCACCCAAAGTCAAGGACGTCTATTCAAACTCAACGATCTAAGACGATATTGAAAATATTACTTCATAATGATTACAAGAATGGTCACCTTTCATTGGGCGACTCATTTTATGCTGAGCACTTACCCTCACGGTGGCGGGGTTCAAAGGTCACCAGCCTTCCAAGTGTGAAAGCAACAAGCGCTTCCGCTGTGTCCCTGTGATAAGAAAACAAAATAGACAAAGTTAAATAGAGAGAAGAGAGTACGTAGCATTCATTGTATATCATGCTTTCTTGAGTTTCCATTGAGACTGAATTATTGTATTTTTCCCCCCAGGTAATTTTATTTATTCTTTTTTTTTAATGTAACATGCAATAAACCTTAATATTTCAAGAAAAACTATCTGAATTATTGGATTTAAAATATATATATATTTGCATTGATTTCAGAGAGGGAGGGAGAAGGAGAGAGAAAGAGAAACATCAATGATGAGAGAGAATCATGGATCGGCTGCCTCCTGCACGCCCCACACTGGGGATTGAGCCCACAACCCGGGCATGTGCCCTGACCGGGAATCGAACCGTGACCTCCTGGTTCATAGGGCGACGCTCAACCACTGAGCCCCACCAGCTGGCCCTGAATTATTGGATTTTAATATTTGTATGTCTCAAGTTACCTAGATTTTATTTCCTTAGCTACTGATTATGTGCGACTATACATTCATCCAAATAGAGAGAAAAGAGTATTAAACGTGATCATCAACCCTGAAGACATGAGAAATTACCATTAAACTTTACAGGCTAATGAAAAATCATGGGATGGACTTAATATGCTTAGTATCTGAAATTACTGCCTGGATGAATCTGTCTGTAGCAGCTTCTGTCTGTATCACCTCCCTCACTGGTTCTCTTCCTATGGAAAAGTGTTGGTAACTATAACTTTTCCCAGGATGATATTTTCTGCACAAATAAATATCGATGAGAGCATCGGCCTGTGGACCAAAGGGTCCTGGGTTCGAATCTGATCAAGGGCACGTACCTCCGTTGCAGGCTCCTCCCCGGGCCAGGCCCTGGACGGGGCGTGTGCAGGAGGCAGCCAATCGATGTGTTCCTCTCACATCGGTATTTCTCTGTCTCCCCCTCTCTCCCACTCTCCCTAAAAATCAATGGGAAAATATCCTTGGGTGAGGATTAAAAAATATAAATATCGAACTCCCACTCCTCTATTTCCAGATACAGTGCGCATTTTCTCTAATATTGGAAGAAACATTTACATGGGACCCAGGAAATGGGGTGATTATCTGCCTGTGAACCTAAAAGGCGAATGTATCTGTCTCCCTCTCTCTCCCACTCTCCCTAAAAATCAATGGGAAAATATCCTTGGGTGAGGATTAAAAAATATAAATATCGAACTCCCACTCCTCTATTTCCAGATACAGTGCGCATTTTCTCTAATATTGGAAGAAACATTTGCATGGGACCCAGGAAATGGGGTGATTATCTGCCTGTGAACCTAAAAGGCGAATGTTGGGGATTATCAAATAGGCCTCATTATGAGAAAACCTGTTGCTTCAATACAGTCCCCTGGGAGCCACGCAATTCGCCCCAATAGCAATTCTATCTCAATAAGCGCCATGCACTCCAGGGCCTAGACCAGGGATGGCGAACCTTTTGAGCTCGGCGTGCCAGCATTTTGAAAAACCCTCACTTAACTCTGGTGCCGTGTCACATATAGAAATGTTTTGATCTTTGCAACCATAGCAAAACAAAGACTTATATTTTTGATATGGAGACGTAAGCAGCAAAGCCCAGCATCCAGCATGGTCCCTGACACACAGTAGGTGTTGTTTGTTTTAATAAGAGAATGGATAAGAGACATTAAAAAAAAATCCTCATTATCATCACACTTATAGTGAGCCACATACATGACTTTAAAAACCTTTTTTAAAATATATTTTTATTGATTTCAGAGAGTAAAAAAGACGGAGAGAGAGAGAGAGAAAGAGAGAGAGAGAGAAACATCAATGATCAGAGAGAATCACTGATTGGCTGCCTCCTGCACGCCCCCCACTGGGGATGGAGCCAGCAACCCTGGCCTGTGCCCCATCTGGGAATCAAACCTGTGACCTTTTGAATCCTGGGCCAACTCTCAACCGCTGAGCCACACAGGGAAGAGCTAAAAGGCCTTTGATTGGGGGGTGCATTAGGAGGTTCAGGGAACATGGGGGACTCCAAAAACAAACACCGCCCTGATGACCGGACTTCGACTTGGAGCTGATGCCTCAGATGTTGCAGGTGCCTCGATGAATGGTCACCAAGCCGCCCCGTGGCCGTCCGGTCGTGTCCAGCAGGCCATGCCACAGGGCTGGAGTGGGGCTTTGGGGTGGCAACCCGGTAAATGATCAGACAGCAGGATTTGGGTTTGTGATGCTAAACATGCTTCTAGACACACTTCCAACCCGAGAGCACTGCCCTGAGCCGGTTCACCAAGCGCTGGTCGAGCTCCCACGCGGGCCAGGCTGTGAGGTGGCTGTCATCTGGGTTTCCCAGGCAACCAGCCAAGGAGACAGGAGATAAGAGGACCCAGGACTGTGGCTTCCGGTGTCTCCGCCGCAGGTGAAGGTGTGGTTGATCCAACAAACAAAGAGGAACCAAGGGAGCAAAGACTCTGAGTGGCTAAGAGGCCAGGACCAGGTCGGCGTGGATGGCTCTGCCCACGGCCAGATGGGGGGGTCTTGGCTCAGACCTTGTGTGCCCCGTGTCCTTCTCGTCCTCTGTCCCTGGCCACGGCTTCCTTCCAGGTCTCCGTTCCCTCCATGTTTTGTTGTGCGAGAGAGTGAGGGGCATTGCAATGGGACATTGGGGAGCAACTGAACTCTTCGCAGCTGAGGTTTCTATGTGGAAAATGGGGCCAAAATACTTCCTTTCTCTCCTGATTGTTGTAAGAGTCAGAGGACACAACACATGCAGAAGCGCTGGTCATCCGATATTATTTAAAAAAAATATTTTTATTGATTTCAGAGAGGAAGGGAGAGGGAGAGAGAGAGAGAAACATCAATGACGAGAGAGAATCATGGATCGGCTGCCTCCTGCACTCCCCCCACTGGGGATCAAGCCTGCAACCCAGGCATGTGACCTTGACTGGAATTGAACCCAGGACCCTTAAGTCACCAGGCTGACGCTCTATCCACTGACCCACACTGGCCAGGGTGCGTCAACCTTGTGAATGAGTGGAGCTTCCTTAGAAATCAGCCAGGGCTCTGCACATGGAAGGACACTTGTCCTACAGGGCCCACCACCAGGGATGGATTGGAGTTTAAATCCGTGGCTCTCGAGCCACCTGCAGCTCTTTGGCCTCTGGAGTGTGGGTCTTCCACAAAATACCGCCACTCTCAAGGGGCCAAAGAGCCGCATGGCTCGTGAGCTGCGGTTTGCCGAGCCGCAAGTATGCCGATCACTGGTCTAAATCATTGCCCTTTTCTTTCATTTGCCTTTTTTTTT